GCCGAAGTTGAAGCAGATGCCATTTCCCCAAGTGTTGAAGCACCAGTACTTGCTCCTGAAGAAGAGGATATAGGCACAACGGTCTTGGCGTACATTGAAACTGAAAGAGGAAACCGTGATGCTGTAGAAGATAACCTTTTTGGCAATGATTCAAGTGCCTTGTATGCAAACCAAGAAGGAGGGTATGATTCCCCTCACATGGGTCAACTTCAGGTTTCTGGTTCCCCTGAAGTTGGTGTTAGCCAGGAAGGAGGAGTCACTGATTCCCCTACATTTTCTGTTGGAAACGAGGGAGGAGGGGAATCTTTCCCCGCACTCTCTCTTGGTAACCAACCAAGAGGGGAATCCTCTTCTGTATTTGATGTTGCGCAGGAGGGAGTAACTTTTGATGAATTGGATGGCGACTATACACAAAGACGTGATGCTGAACCTGTCATTGATGATGTCTATTCGCTGACAAACACAGATGGGTGTGCAACTGTCTCAGCTGAAGAAGATGCAATATACATTAGACGCGTGTTCAAAGATAAGGTGGCTTTTCAAAACACTTTGGCTATATATGCCATCAAGAGGTTATTTCATTTCAGGCAGACTAAATCTGACCCAGAGCGGGTCATTTGCGTTTGTATTGATAAGCGTTGTCGCTGGAGAGTATTTGCTCATAGGGTCTCGGAATTCTCTGAAAATTTTGCAGTACGCACAGCTACGCTTACACACACGTGCTCAATTATTGCTAGGTCGCAGTATGAGAAGCAAGCATCTGCTAGAGTGATTGCAGAGGTTTTGAAAGGGAAGTATGCTAACGGATTGCCTGGGCCACGCGCTGTTGATATTCCGGACATAGTGCTAGCTGAGCTGAAAGTTTCTGTTACATATATGAAGGCATGGTATGCAAAGGAGGCTGCTATTATGCAAAGTCGTGGAAGTGATGAAAAGAGCTACAAGGTCCTAGCAGTATACATGTACTTGTTGCAGAAAGGGAATCCAGGGACAATATACAGACTTGAATATACTGGTGGTGGATTGGTACCAAAGCAGTTCAAGTACCTTTTCTTTGCTCTTGGAGCAAGTATTGCTGGTATTAAGTACATGAGGAAGGTTGTACGTGTTGATGGTACTGCTATAAAGGCAAAGTTTAAGGGAGTGCTTATCGCTGCTAGCATGCAAGATGCTAACTTTCAGGTTTATCCAATAGCTTTTGCAATTGTTGATGCAGAGAGTGACTTGGCATGGACCTGGTTCTTCACGAAACTCAGCCAGCTCATCCCTGATGCAGAGGATGTAGTGCTTGTTTCTGATCGCCGCAGGTCTATATATGCAGCTATTCGGAAAGTGTATCCGCTGGCCTTTCATGGGGCATGTGCTGTTCACATTGAAAGAAATGTAAGGGCAAAGAATCCAGGGACAGGCCTGTCCTACCTTGTTGGTAATGCTGCCCGTGCATTTAACGCTGGGGACTTTAAAGAAATGTATGCTGAGATCGTCAAGCAAAGCAAGAAATGTGCTGCCTATTTGGATGCTATTCTACTTGAACATTGGACTCAAGCGTATTGCCCAGCAAAACGCTATAATATTATAAGCAGTAACAACGCTGAGGCTCTCAATGGTGCTCTGGCCAAAATTGTTGAACTACCAATTGTTTCTATGGTAGAGTCAATTAGGACAAAGTTGATGGAGTGGTTTTGTTTCAGACGGGAGAAAGCAAAGAAACTTATTGCTTTGGGAGAGACTATCACACCTAAGGTGAACGAATTTCTCTTGCGCCACCACAAGGATTCTGCAGGTTTACCTGTTAAAGCTGTCTCAGAATGGAGTTTTCAAGTTAGTTCAGGCTTAAAAAAGTACTATGTCGACCTAGCTCTTAAGACCTGCACCTGTTTGCAGTTTCAAAAGCTGGAATTGCCTTGTTGCCATGCATTGGCTGCAGCAAGAACAAAGGGAGTCGAAGTTACTATGCTGATTGGTTCACATTACAGGGTTTCAGTCTTTCGCGATGCATATGAAATGTTCATATTCCCTGTGCCTAATGAAAGTGACATAGATATTCCCGTTGATGTACAAGAAACCGAATTCATGCCACCGGAGAACAAAAATGGTCCAGGGCGTAGAAGGAAGAGGAGGATCCCTTCCACCGGGGAGTACACGGTAAAACACTGAATTCGTTGGCAGTAATGGAAAGAATTTGACAGGGACTGTAAGTAACTGATGTTACTTTACTGCAGGGGACGAAGAGGCGCAAGCATGGACCGCATAAATGTACCACATGCAATGAAACAGGGCATAACAGAGCTACTTGCTCTAGCATCCCACGTTAAGGTATGAAAACTGTGCAGTAAACTAGTTGGCTGTTGTGAAATTTATGGAATTACACAACTAAACTGCATTTAAAAAACATGTGGCAGGTGTTGTAAGGGGGAAAAACTTTTTGGGACATAAGGAGCAACTAGAATTTGTAGGGGTAACGCTTGTTTTTTGGATAGGCCAGACAATGGCCAAGAGACAAATGGATTCAGCAGCGATGGGGGCACCATCTTTTGGGTTTTCAGTAACAAATGGCTGAGAAGAAGCCACTGTATAGCTATCCGGTAAGCAGCTCTGGGGAAGAGCCTTCAATTAACAAGTTGAAGTATGTGCAGTCAATGTATATAGCAGTGCTGGATATATCCAGTTTGTAAAATTAAGCTGCTGCTGATGAAAAACAATTGATGTCTCGATTAACTACTAATGAAAAATGCTTCTTATGGTGTATGTGACGATTTGATCCAATAGGCAACTAGAACGCATAAGAAATTAACATCAAGCAATGTACCTTAATTTGGAATATATATTACATTACTGAAACAGATAAGCAAATTACATTAAGCAAGTTCTCTAGCATCGGAATATATATTACATTACTGAACAAGAGGACCAAATTGCAGGGAATTCTGACAAGACTTAACTGGAAACATACAACGTGGCTGACACCAAGAAGCAAATTATATCACATATGTACATTCAGGATTTAGCATAATTCCTGAAACCGAATTGCGTACATGTAAACAAAGCAGCGACGACAGAGATGAAGGACAGAGTAGTTGTTTAGGAAACAATGAGGGAGCCCTCCACCAAACCGAAACGAATTGTTAAAGCGGCCAGCCCTTGGCAATCTGAAACCTGCAGTTTGTGTTAGCACCATTTCAGCAATGTCGACTTCTTCCTCCATATTACGCAGGAGACTGAAGAACTGCTCCATGACATGCATACCAGTGTCAAAAGAACCTGAACAAACCAGAACCAATCCTAGCGCAAACCTAGCATACATACTGTCTACAGAAGCTTCACAGAGGAGTTCAACTGAACGTTCGGAAGGTCCTTCTGCCACCGCAAGGCGTAAGCCTTCGACAAACTGCGCAGCTGGGTTCCCAGAATCCAAACAACGCAAAAAAAAGGGTCGGAACACAGAATCTTCATTACACAGCTGAGTAACAAAGACAAACTCATCAATGTCGACATCCTTAAGAACACTCGCGTCGAAGACAAGAGCCATGAATTCAGGTCCTGAAGCTATCAAAGCGCCTAACTCTCTAAAACCATGTTGTGAGAGACGCCTGACAATATCCAGAAGAAGCGGATGTGGAATTATATTCATTGGTGATATGTTGGTCTTTCTGAGTTAATTAAGACATTTAATTTGCAGTTTGGTTATATAGAGCAGAGCGAAGCGAGGTTTTGAAAGGATTTGGTTGTGTAGTGCAGGTGGGTGTTAAGTGTCACATACTAGCATTAACTAATGCAGCTGAAACAGGACTATAAAGTGGGAAAAAAATAGAGTAAATAGGTGGTTACGTCTGAGTTTAAGGAAAAGTTTTAAGGGAATAACGAAAGGAAGGGAGAGACATATTTCAGGCTCCTGTGTAGTCAACTCATACAGTGCAAGTAAGAGTAGTAAGAAATAAAAGCGCTGGATAAGACATTGGGAGATGGAATGAAGAAACAGTACATCATAAAGGAGAATTAAAGATGGTCATGGTCCATATCATAAAAACTAACAAAGCATAAGATACATAACACTAAACCAGTAAAGAAAACATATCCGGCAACGTCTGTTAATGCTGCACCGAGTACCAGGACATCGAGGAATGTCATCATATCTCCAAGTGTCGCAGTGGGAGCGAATCTTAACGGGTCGCATTTGTAGAATGTGACGAAAGACTTTGCTACCAATAGCATCAGCTTCACGAAATGAACCAATGGAAGAAACAAAGGAGTCAATTGTGTCAAGTGACTCTGAGTAAAACCCCAGGCAAACCTGTAGCAAGGCTCGGGAAAACCAAGCATGAGGTGGATAGTTGCCTATGGTGGATAAGAGTTGTAGAGCATCTTCTGCACAACCAAGTTTGACGGCAAGCCTAATGCTTTCAAGATAGGCTGCAGTTGCATTGTGAGAGTCTAAACATTGGTGAAAGAAAGGGCGATACACCGAATCTTCATTTATAAGGCCAGCATCTGCTAGGAAGGGTTGTAGGCTTACATGGTTGAGGACAGTGGGATGAGTTGCAAGAGAATAGTAGAATTTGGAAGCCAGAAGCATACCCCGGAGAGATATAAACGAATCCGCCCCCACACATGAAACAATATCAAGAGCAGTGTGTATGTCAAGTTGTTCCATAGGTGACGCAGGAACAAACAATGAAAAATGTGTAACTTATGTAGGGAAAAATCTGTATCAAGTAGATGGGATGGCATTTATTGTGATGGACTTAGTGGGTGAGGAGGTATGAAATTAATGAGCTGAAATGAAATTGTAAGTTTGTAGAAGTTAATAGTTAAAGAAGTAATGGTGTATAATATCCTAAAGGGAGAAGAAGGTAGTGATAAGGAAATCTAGGAATAAAGTAGCTAATGTAACAACAACAGAAGGTACCATAAGGAGAGCAAGTCAGTACAAGTAATAGAAAGCGCGTTATTCTTGGTTAACATGCCGAGAGATCAATTAAAATATAAGAAAAACAAGTAGATTAAACGTGGGACACATATTCTTCATACAGATCAATGGCGTAGCGCATTCGAATGTTGTCAATAGTCTTCTTTGTAAGTTCTTGAAGGTGCGATGTAAGCTGATATGAGTGAAGTTCAATAAATTTCAGAGACATTGGACCATAGTCCCCACCACGGTCATTCTGTGCGAGACCAGTCATTCGCGTGAAGGTAAAGCCAGTTGCTGGCCAAGTGGATGGAACATCTTCACAAACAGAGCGAAGCAAACAAGGCAGCATCTGAGCAATAGGAGCCATGTAGGAGGCAACCTTTCTAGCAGAGGTGCAATCTTCAAACGGGTCAAGAATGTCAATATGACCTTTGGGAAGGTCAATGGCTATTGCGACCCAATGCCTCTTACCCCAATTCATAGGGAGGTAAATAATGTCTACATCTTTGAGCCACTCCAACTTACAAGTACGACCGTCAACCAGACCACGAACATAAGCCGTCAACAGTGGGTGCCATGCATATGTCAGTGTATTGACGTGTTGGCTGAAATTGACAAACTTATTTTCCATCATTGAGGTGAACATGGAGTTGAGGATAGTAATGCGGCGGGTAGCGAGGAAAGCACCATGTTTTTGCCAAAGAAAGCTGACAATGCAGTCAATGTGCTGTGATGCAAGAAGTCATAGAATGAGAAGAGATATAATATATGGGCTATAAAATAGAAGTAAGCAAAGTAGACATGGAAGGTGCAAACTAACCAAGCTGGAAACCCAGTTCTGAGGTTTTGATAGCTCAGTGAAGAAAGTAGAAGGGTATGAGTGGCCATTGATAGTGTATGAACTGCATTGGAAAGATGTGAGACATGAGAAATAAAGAATATTACAAAGAAACATTCAGGTGATATAAAATGAAGAGGTTAAGCACAAACCTCTTGCCCATTTTAGAGAGCTTGCTGCGAAACTTGGAAACAGTAGCTGAATTGGGGGTCCCAAGTGTACTTAGAATGTATGGAATCATTGCTTTGACATCAGGGTGACTGACATTTTTTTTGCTACGCAGGTTCATAGCAGGTCCACCCAATGGTAGCTGTTTTGTAGGAGGCGCAATGGGAAGGCGAGGACACCGATCCATGACAACAGAAAGACCGGTTGCAGAAGGTACTTGACCTAACATGGCAGACACCCCATCGGTTGCAGGACATTGCGTAGCAGATGAACAAGTTTGGCGGGTCACTCTTTGGGATATATTCTTTAGAACGAAGACAGAAGGTTGAACTGGTGTTGGGTGAATAAAACATGATTCCTCCTTAGAATCAGGTTTACAGGCATTAAGCTGACATGCGTTCACCTGCAAAAGATACAGAAGACAGAGAAGGATGATTAATGTAACTGAGAAACGTGTTTTTGAAGTAGATATAAAATAACCTGTGGCATGGGTGAAGAAGGAGACAAATATGAAGCCAAATGGGAGGGTAAGGTGGAGGTATGGCTTGTGTGCTTGGCTGCTTCATGTAGGAATGATGGGCGGCGTTGCTTAATATAAGAAAGAATCAACTGTAAGTAGCGAAAAGGAGCGAAAGTGGCAAGATCAAAGTGAGAGACAGAAAGTAGAGATAGAAAAAACCTGAACAAGTGGCTTTACAACAGGACATGGAAGCACAACCGGACTAATGGACTGAGAACCTGTAACTCCATGAGCGTGGCTCCCAGTAACAGAGGGAGAAGAAACCTAAAAAAAAAACTGGTAAAAATTTGGAAATGTTGTTGTAATGAAAGGTGCAAGAACCATAGAAAGTAGGCTTAACCTCAGGAGGTAGAACATCAGTGTCGAGATGTTGAAAGCCTGTAAAACCTACAGCCTCCGAATCCACCATTGATTCAAGGCATTTACCAGGCGATAAAACAGTATGTGCAGAACCGACAGCAGGATGACAGATAGGTGAATGTTTAGCATTACTGGATGACGATCTTGTATTGCTAGCAGAACGCTTGGAGAATGATCCCGCAGATAGTCCAGCACAGCCAGAACGTGTATTCCGGACAGGCGAAGAAGATACTGCTGGTGAAACAATAGAGGACTTGTTGACAGGAGGTACACCGCGCCTAGTACTCTGATGACTGTGCTGAATGAGGTGACTAAGCTCAACAAGCAGAGATGCCTTGAAGCTTTTAAGATGTTTCTCAATAAGGGTATCTGCATTTCCGCGGATCTTGACAGAAGAACGGTGGCCAACCCGCTTTTTTTGTTTACAAAAATCTTCAGGACCCGAACTTGAACTTGCAGACCTGGAAGGAATGGACTTACGTTTGCGGGAAGAGGTGAGTGACGGCAGAGATGCATCACCACCAGACCAGACATCGTTTGTGAACTGAAACGATGATGCAATAAGTCTCTCCAACTCCTTAACCTTGGGGTCACAATGTTCAGATGCTACAAAGGCAGGGTCAGGATTTTGCGGGTGCAAAACACAAAGCTGCAAAGTATAAAGAATATGAGGTGGTATAACAGACAGAAAGAAATAGAAGAAGGAAATAGTCACAGAATAAGAACGCACATTACTCGAATATTCAAGACGTAAAATGTTTGAAGTATGGAAAGACTTGCACTTAGGGAGATGATGAATGATTCGGTCAAGGAAAGTAGACTGATCCTCACCATTGGGCAGGATTGTGAGGAGCAAAGGAATATATTTAAGAGCAAACAACTGAATAGCAAGAGGAAAACCATGGACAGCGACGGACGATTGTTTCAGCTTGGCAACTAGCGAGTCTGCGTCTTCAAGATAGCTTCCAACTTTAACCATTCTAAGCATCCTGTGAAAGGAGTGGCGACCCCATGGGTATTTGAGAAAGAAGTCTACATCTTTGACCATCTCAACAACTTCAGCTGATGCCTTAACTGGTTGGCTCCGACAAAGCAAAACACCCTCTACAATTACAATAAGCGCCAGGCGGAATTTACGCCAACTTGGCATATTTGGCTGAGTCTTCAACATTTGGAGAAGTGCCTTCACAGTTACAGAACCAAGTTTACCACCAATTAAAGTATACCAGTACGGAGCACTACCCTCGGCATGAGTTGTTGCAGCATCGAGTTTTTATTGCGAAGGAAAAGGACAACATTCCAACCCAGTGGCTTCACAAAATTCCGATAGAGAAAAACGCAAAGGCTGACCCCCAAAAACAAACCACATTTCGTCAGAGTTGGTGGTATCCAGCTGCCTACATAGCATCTGATGGACCAATTGGCCAGACAATGAACATCGCCTGACAGGCAGTGAGAAGAGGGACCCTAGCGGAGATGCCAACAAAGTGTCCAACTCTGGCATTCCATCGAGGATATGTAAAATATCAATCAAGTACTTAGGTTTGGAATAAGAGTTGATACGGACTGCATGACCAGGATAGCAGTCAGCAGAAAAAACTCTATCAGGAAGGAGTCCTACAAAACCAAAAAGAAAAAGTAAACAACACAGGCAGTGGGTGTAAATATATGAAAAAAACTTTACTAACAACAACTGCAGCTATATGATGATGATAACCTTTAAAGCAACAACTTAATTGAACACAAGAAGGCAACCCTAGTCTCAACAACAGAGGGAAACCAAAATAGATGTGTGGCAAGACGGGAATAAGCAATATTTAGGAAAACATAAGAAACATGTAAAATGGAGGAACTAAACCCTAATCTCCACAGCTGAGGGGAACCCAAACACATGTGTTTAACGAGTGGCAAGCGTCAGTAGGTAGAAAATCATAAAAAAACATGTGAAATGGGGGAACTAAACCCTAATCTCCACAGCTGAGGGGAACCCAAACACAGGTGTTTAACGAGTGGCAAGCGTCAGTAGGTACAAAACCATAAAAAAACATGTAAAATGGGGGAACTAAACCCTAATCTCCACAGCTGAGGGGAACCCAAACACAGGTGTCTAAAAAGTAGGAACCATGAAGAGATACAAAAACATAAGAAATATGCAAACCTGGGGCACCGGCGTGAGATGGTCCAGCTCCAAATGAATCCATTTCAGACGGACAGGACCTGCACATGCAATTAAGCTCAGTTTCACCACAGACTAAGGTGTATGTCCGGGAACAATATATTTGGCTACAGCGACAGAGAGACTATCAGAAAGAAATTAGAATAAGGACAAAGAATTTCCAAGAATTAGATTCAACAGGCAAACGGCTGTACACAGAAATTTTGCTTTCGAAGGACTAGAAGATGATACAGATTACTTCGATAAGAACTACCAGCAACCAAAAAAAGGTTGGAAATGGCGACCGCGGAGAAAAGGTACCACTGGAATAACTAACCAATTGCAATGGCGAGAGGAATTTGGTACAGAGAGCTTCAGAATGCCCTTTTTTTCTCACGGCCGTCGAAAATAAATTTGAAATCGGAGCAGAGTCTCTGTTTTCTCGAACCTCGGAGAAGAAAGAGTAAAGCAGACGACACAATATGACTTCCTATTAAATGTTCGAGAAATTGGAACAGTTACGTGTTGTTCGGTCTTCTCGGGCAGACAAGAGTGGGCAGGCGCAATAATGAAAAAGCGAGGGCAAAATCGTGAAATCGCATGAGTAGAAAAGGGTATATCCACAAACTGTTCCAAAAAGGTCGAAACCAACAAATGTCATCCGGAAAAATGGCTTTCTCGTAATTGATTCTAAAATCAAAGTAGTAACATATAAGAAAACATGTAAACAAACCTCAATTTACAAATTTCGAATTGAAAATATCGAGCGTTGGTAAAATGTAGCAAAATAGTCACTAATCTCAGGTGCTAGATGCGAAAGGGTCACAACATCAGTCGTACAATGGTCACACAATATGTCGGATTATGGTCACAAACCTCAAATCTGATATTTCGAATGTTTAATATCGAGAGTTGTTAATATGTAGCAAAGTGGTCGCTAAATCTCAGATAAATGTGATCGATTATCTTTGTTCGTCGCAAATATGTTGCAAATTTGCGACCGTTTTGTGACCTTTAGTCAAATTGTAAAAAAAAAGAGTTCTATAGATAACAAGTCGCTAAGTGATCTCAAAGTGCGACCTTTTTGCGACCCAAAATATTGAATTGGTAAACGGTCGGATAGTAGTCGCTTAATTGAGACATTTGTCCGACTACTTATTTCAGTCGCTAATAAGCGACTATTTTCCATCTGTTTTGTTTGTAGTTGTTTAAGAGTCGCCAAAGAGACACAAAGTAGTCGCGCTTTTTTGCGACCATAAAAATAGTCACAACAAAGAGTCCCAAATTGCAGGTTTTCTTGTAGTGTTCCGGATACCGCAAATAATGAAGAAGTTCTGGTAACAGTCGAAAATGATCCTAATATTCGTTCCGAGCCGGAACCAAAGAAGTTTATACTCAAGGCTAATACTTCCGCTAATGATTGGGCGGCTGACTGGAGGGTACCCATCAAAAATTTCATTCTTAAAGAGAACTACCATCGAACAAATGGCAAGCTCGCAAATTAAGAATCATCAGCGCTAAGTATTGTATAATTAAAGAGTCATTGTACAAGAGAGGTGTCAGTGATTCTTATCTTTTATGTATTTTCGGGCCCGAAGTTGAAATAGTGACAAGCGAGGTCCACGAAGGGCTTTGCGGTAGTCATTCTTCGGGACGAGCAATGACTTTCAAAATCAAACGGTTAGGATATTTCTGGCCAACTATGATTTCTGACTGCATCGATTACGCCAAACGGTGTAAAAAATGTCAGATGCACGCTCCTTTTATTCACCAGCCATCTGAATTATTGTCATCTATATCCGCTCCATACACTTTCATGAGATGGTCATTGGATATAGTTGGTCCGATCCATCGCTCAACGCGAGGCGTCCAATACTTATTAGTTCTAACGGACTATTTTTACAAATGGATCGAAGTTGAAGCTTACGTAAACATACAAGATTCTGTGGTAAAGACATTCTTGTGGAAACACATTTTTTGTCGTCATGGAGTTCCTTACGAAATTGTAACGGACAATGGTCCACAATCAATTTCAAATGATTGTGAAGATTTTTGTTCTCTTGGGGGATAAAACTTAGCTATTCAACGCCGAGGTATCCTCAAGGAAATGGGCAAGCGGAAGCTTCCGATAAAACCATTCTCAGCAATCTTAAAAATGTTTGAATGCTCGAAAAGGTGGTTGGTATGACGAGCTGCAACCTGTGTTGTGGGCATATCGAACAACCCCGAGACGAGCAACGGGAGAAACTCCATTTTCATTAGTATATGAGATGGAAGAAGTAGTCCCAGCCGAGCTGAATGTTCCTGGTTTACACCGGAACGAAGCTCCACTTAACGAAGAACTAAATTCTAAGTTATTAGAAGACGTTCTCGATACAATTGATGAAAGGCGAGACCAATCCCTTATTCGACTTCAGAACTATCAGCAGTTGACCACTCGATACTATAACTCAAAGTTGAAAAATAGACTTTTAAATGTAGGAGACTTTGTTTTAAGGCGAGTGTTCGATAACACAAAAGAAGAAGGAGCTGAAAAATTCGGTATTAACTGGGAAGGCCCTTACCAAATCACAGAAAAAGTCCGAAATGGTGTATACCGTTTACAAGACCTTGACGAGAAAACCCGTTCAAAGGCTTTGGAACATCTTCAACTTGAAAAAGTTCTATTGCTAAAACAAATATATTTTAACTACGATTTGGCTTGATCCTATTTTGGGTACGTAGGTAGCTCGCTAAACACGAGTCCAGCTAGAAAAATAAAAATATTATTCCAATCATGGAGTCTTGTTTTTATAAACTCGATCTTCGAGCATAAATATAAAAATACGTAGCGAACAATGTATGAAGAAATATTTTTAGCTAAGCAAAAACCAGATCTAGAAGGGTCTTGGATTACGGAATAGCTCTGCTGCTTGGCCTACGAGGTCAACGATGGTCATAATGCAACCCGGCATGGTTCCGTACTCCTGGAGGCCTATCTCGATCCAATCGGAAGGATGGGCTTCGAGGCGATGACGCTCGCGAGCAATATCGAGATGACGCTTCTCTAGTTCCATTCTTCTTTTCCTAATTTCTTTTTTCTCATCTTCGAGCTCGTTGTGCCGAGTGACAAGCTGAAGAAAATAAAATGCTTAGTTTAAACAACAACGAAAGGAGTCAAATCAATAGGTAAAACAATACCTTGTCAATAAACTCCTCAGTCATGATACGATCTTGAGCTGATAATCTCTCGATTAACACGTTCGGAACCTGAATGCTGGTTCCCCACCCTAATGGATGTGACTCTTCTGGTTCGCCGGTTGCTTCCGTTTTTACAAGCTCGATGTCTGACGTTTCTGGAAGATCATCGCTTATCGTTTTGAATGAGTCGAAGGGGTTCTCTGAAGAATTACCTTCCTCGAACATTTTTGTAGAATTATTGTTGATAAACCTCAATAATGAACTACACCTACTTTATATTCGAAATATACTCAATCACATTTAAGAGGGTCAATTGACGATTTCCCAAAATCTTAAATTACTACCTTCATGGAAAATGTAATCGAGTTAATTGCTAATTTTATTCTCTAAATTAGTGCATTAAATAAGATTGAAATAAATCGACAGATTTAAAGCAAAAGGGGAAATATAATTAATGTCGCTGAGCCGCTAGCCCAATAGCATTGTTACAAACAAAAATAAATCAAAGGAATTGTTCGATCAAAAGTCTTCGTCCGATAACGATTTCAGCGAGGTGGATGATCCCGAGCAGCTTTTGGAGGATAATCCCTCGTCAGAAGATAAATCGAGGAGACCAGAAGAATGATCGATTGATTTCGCCTCCGTTTCTTCATTTTCTTCAGTTTTTAACATCGGAAATCTCCAAAACTCTGAAGAACATGAAACGAAGGAGGATCCATCGCCGGTTGCTAAGGATAAATGAGATAATTTGTCCAGCACGCGGAGGAATCTTCGAAGGCAAGAAGGAATAATAGCCATGATATCTAAACCCTTCC